GATCACTAGTGAACTAACTTGTTTCTTCACGGATATGAAGCACACTAGTCCTTCGCGTGGAGTACACACATGCTCTATGTGGAAGTACGTGAAGAAACTAAAACACCAAAAAAAACCAAGAAAACCTACAAAAACAAAAGGTGAAAAAAAAACTTCAAAATCGACACAAGAATGAAAAAAGAGACGAAAAAACAGTCCCAACGAATGGAGCATGAAACGATGGAGGGCTCCCCATGCTAGGAAAAAGTGCCCTAGGTTGGGGGCATCCATTAACTAGTTGCTCCCTAGTATTGGTCATCTTCGACAGAAAATCCTCTTTGTCATTGATGTTGAAAAATTGCAGACGGAAATAGCAGATGGGTCAGCCCAACTAGACACAGTTGGTATGTAGTGACTAGCGTTTTTTTCTTTCTGATTAGAGAGTGATACTTTTTTGTTTTTTCTCTTTTGTTTTGCCAGTTTTCTTCTTATTTTTCTTTTTCCCCTCTTTATTTTATATTTTCTAAAAACTCAACAACATTTCTCTAAAATTCAGCAAGGTTTTAAAATTTTGAGAACCTTTTATGAAATACAAAAAAATGGATTTTTTCAAAGCATTATTGTTATTTCCAAAATTTTGAATATTTATGCAAAACACAATATTTTTTACAAAACTAAAAAGTATTTTTAATAGTTTGTGAACATTGTTGAAATCCCGACAAAATTGTGGAAAATATATCAGATCATGAATATTTTGAAAAACAAAAATATTTTTTTAAAAATCAATAAAATGTTGAATTTCTAAACTATTTTAGATTTTCAAAATAAAATCAAATGTGTAACCATTTTTTATTTTGTGCATTTTTTAATTCATGAAAATATTTTCAAATATGGTTTTGATTTTAAATAAATATGGAAAAACTATGAAAACAGTTGAGAGACTAGAGGAGCAATACTCGATAACGCGCTTGTAGGTTTGCCCACTAATTTGACACACGACGCATCAATATAGGGGGTCTCGTCTTTGGCTGTTTATTCCCGTGGCGTTTGGGATCTTTGTTTGCTAGGTGGAAGTAGGACCTTTGCAAATTCAAATAAATAAAGAAGTAGTGTGTCTACTTAGTTATGTATAAGTAGGATGAGTCTTAATCTTGTAGCTGCATGTGGACAAAGACATCATAACACTTTACTTTTCCTATTCTCTTTAAGTTGAAAATCCTATAAACCGAACTAGCGTCCCATGGAAATTCTTCTTTGGTCCCCTTCAAAACAAAGGAATTGTTGTCCGACAAATTTTCAACAAACACGATATCTTAACAGAACATGTTTCTAGCCTTTGCGTTTACCGTTCATGCGTGGCATCTAACAACGGTTTTGATGTTTTTATATGGTATTGGTTCTCGTAGGTGCACGACTTCTCGATTTCCACACTTAAACCTGATTACCAATGTACGGCTTGATGCGGGTCATGTTTGTCGACACGAGCATGGAAAAATCTGAATTCAATCAAACTCAACTTGTTTGCTGCCCGTGGAGTAGCCAGAAGATTCAGTGAGTGGGTTAAACGCCCGAATGTGACAAAAGGCATCTTAATTTAACTCGGCTCTCACACAAGTCATTTTCCCAGGGATTAGGGTCATTTGCCACTCTTTGCATAGGGTTTTCATGATTTGCCCCAAGGTTGTCTCAATGGCTAGTGACCCCGGCTCCACCCGTCAATCTGGACCGGAGGGAGGGGGGCAAATCATTAAAGTTAGAAGTAAAGTGTAGGCTAAGATTAAATTTCTCCATTTTCTCATACCCAGGGGCCAGAAAAGATGGACGGTGTTAAACCAGGTCAACAATAGCAAAACTATAGCTAGTCAAATGGGCTGTTTTTTTTGGGCCGGCCCGTGAGCACGTCGGCACGGCCTGATTACGCACGGCACAGCCTGATTATATATGGCCCAACATGTAAAAATGGGCTAAAAACCCTCAATGCGTCAAATAACAGGCTGAAAATATGCGGCCCACCGTGCTAAACGGGCCAACGTGCCGGACCGTTTACTATCTGGGCCGTTCCTGGACCTCAGGGCGCAGCACGCGGGCCGACCCGGCCCGTATAGTAATCATGCCCTGGCGGGCCGTGCCGGGCCAGGCACGATTACGATGGGCTGGGCCGTGCCGGGCCGGCCCGTTTGGCCAGGTATAAGCAAAACCTAGGTCCGAAGGCCAGCAGCTGTATTCGCATGCGGTGGCAAAATTTCGTGTTTGACCATTTTTCGATACCTATTCGAGATCTGACCCTTTTGCTACCGCCAGGGACTTACCATCAAACAAAATGACGGTAGCATGTACAACCCTACCGCCAAAGTGCTCGGCGGTAGGCACGAACACGCATTGTGTTCAATACTTAGTAAATTTTTACGGTAGTGGCGGTAGGCAGTTATACCCTATCACCTTGGACCCTGGTGGTAGCAAAAGGGTCAGATCTAAAAAAAATTCAAACTAAGATCAAATCTCGAATAGGTATCGAAAAAGGTCAAAACACGAAATTTTGCCGCGTGCGGTGGAATGCACAGAGCACCGATCTTGGAAGAGCGCTGCTATGCAGACGACTCAGGGTGCACGATTCTTGCACGACAGTGCTAATCAAGCCGTCCATACCTATGAGCAAACTACGACATACCAATGGATTCACCATCGTCCAGTTTTCGTCTGAGCAAGTATCCTCTGCGTAGTAGCTTCGATCTTGGAAGGCGGCGGAAATCCAAAAACCCCCGTGAACCAATCATCACAGCACGCGCCGCGCCGCGCATGGAGATCCACTCCCGCAAGCCACAGCGACGCGCCACCGGCGGGGCGGCCGCCGCTGCGCAAAGCGGATCAATCTATCCAACGCGCGCGTGCACGCACATGCAGCGACCGCCCATCACGCGCTATCATTCCGGCCTGTCTGCCCACCGTTCGTCCCTCCCATGCCAGTCTCAGGCCCATCACCCCTGACCGCCGGCCGGCAGACCTGTTGCAATCGAAATCTGGAAACACCCACGGTGCCAGCCGTTTTTGCCTAACCCGGAAAAGACCACAGCTCGTCTTCCCTTCCCGGTTTCGACCCATCGTCCCTGGTTTGCTGACAGTCACACGGCCAGAAAGATCACAAATGATGTAACAACGAAAAGCAGAAACGCCTCACTTTTTGACACTTTGTGTATGTGACCCCAGAAGGAGATGAAAGAATCTAGCAGCAGTAGAAAGCCAACATCATCAGTCTACACACACAGATCTGTAAACGAATGTGGGGGACAGGCAGAAAAAGGTGAAGAAAACGCAGCAAAAAGCAGATCCCCATTACTGAAGGGCCGGCCCAACGAAGAACCAAAACTTTACACCGGCCGACCTGCCTCTTCTAATAAAACAGACTCTCCAGTCCACACATCCTAAATAAAACATCAGCGTATATGTACCAGCACCAGCAGGCAGCGGCCACCACCCAGCAGCTGCTTGTAATTATCATGTAAGAGACGACGATCCGATGGTCTCGTTCTCGAACCGCCGGACCTCGCCGGCGAGGCGCTTCATGGCGTCGTCGTACACGTAGGGGACGCCCTCGAAGGTGACCTTGCGGCCGCTGCCGGGCCGCGGCACGAACTCCTGGCAGGGCTCACCCAACACGTTGATGGAGTTGTGGTAGTGGTAGTACCTGATCAGGGCCTCCGTCTTGTGCGTCGACCTCCCGTAGATGTTCTGCGACATGTGCACCCCCGTCGCGTACGCGTTCCGCGCCTGGATCGCGTACTTGCGGTCGCGCCGCACCCTCGTGATCGAGTTCCGGAACACGAACTTCTCGAATCCCCATTCCCTGCATCGTCGGTGAAATGTGCATTGTTAGTTCAGATAACATCGTTGCTATGTATTAGTTTGAAATGTAAGATCAACAATGAAGACAAAGACTGTGCTAAAATTTAGTGTCATGATGAATAAGGCAAATTCTATTTACTGGGCTCAATTCATCTTTGTTTCCAGGCCGGTAGAAGGCGATGCCTTTACTGTGGAACCAAATCATGGTATACTACTAAGGTTTTTGCCTCAGTGGTGAAAGCTGGAGAACAGAATGTATTAAAGTAATTGGCTTTGTTTGTGAAACCAACTGATGTTTTACTAACATTTTTGGCTCAACAGCGAAAGATGCTGGAGAACCAAATGTCTTAAAAGTAATGTAATGACCTTTGGTTGTGACACCTAATGATGCTTTAATTAACTGCTTTGCAGGACTCAATTTGACCCAAAAAATTGGTTCAATGATGAAAGCTGGAGAACAAAAGGGAAAGGTGTCAACCGCCATGTTGCCTTGCAGGACTCAATTTGACCAAAGGAAATCTAACCAGTTTTTAATTAAATTAAACGTGCAAGGTCGAACTCAAGCAGCTCAGTGCCCAATTGTTCAACGGACTGCATAAACAAGTAGTAACTGCTTTGAGAATGTTTGTTTGTTTGATTAAACAACACAGCCAAGGTTCAACGGCTAAATTATATATCTGGGAATGCAACCAAACCCGTAGAGACAAAATGTAGGAGTATTTACTACCAGCCTGAATCTGATACACCTGAAGCTAAATTTGGGAGGCAGCGCGACAGAGATCTCGCAATCATAAATATAAAACTGAATTGCGAATGGACAGATACGGGATAGACATCACAAACCTTGAGTAATCGTTCCTCGGATTCTTGACGCAGAGCTTGGTGGACATGGGATTCTGCTCGATGGTGAACTGCGTGTACCCCGAGAGCCTCCCGAGCACCTGGTCCAGAGCCTGGCCGTTGGGCAGGTAGAGGTACTCGTCGACGTCGAAGAAGAAGGTCCAGTTGGCGGCGTGCCGGTACCGGTGCAGGCAGTCGTTCACCACCAGGAACTGGTTGTAGTAGTAGCTGTCGAACTCGGCCTGCGCCCGGACGTCCTGCACCGTGACCCGCCCCGCCCTGATCCACGGCTCCAGCACCGCCCGCACCTCCGGGCTCACGCCGCCGGCGTCGTGGAAGACGAAGTGCGACCTGGGCCCGAAGAAGTGCGCGTGGTACGCCACCCACTCCCGCATGCGGTCCGCGCTGAGGTTGCCGTAGAGCGAGGAGCCGCAGTAGAGGTAGTCGTACTGGAACGGCGGGCTGAAGGCGGCCTCGTCGTAGGCGCCCGGCGCCTCCTCGAGAGCGACGAACCGCTCGTACCGGCGGGAGGCGGTGGAGTGGTAGGCGTGCACGAGCAGCCTGCCGCCGGCGTTGGCGGCGTTGGGGTTGGACGGGAAGGTGCAGTTGACGACCACGGTGGTGTAGACGCGGCCGTAGCCCCAGTCTGGCAGGATCTTGTAGGCCTTGGTCCGGACGGCGCGCGGCGCCGGGTCGGCGGCGCTCGGGTTGGGCTGCCACTCGCACTTGAAGTAGGGGGTGCCGAACACGTGCGTGGGCTTGGACGCCAGCCCCACGATGGCGAACGTCCGCGGCCCGCCCCGGTACGCGCCCATCTGCACGAACAGCGCCGCCGCGCTGCCGTACGGCCGGAGCACCCGCTTGTTCGGGTCCTCCGGGCGCACCGCCGCGCTGCCGGACGGCCGGGGCACCGGCCTTTTCGGCTCCTCCGCCCGCGCCGCCGCGGTTACGTGCGGCCGCGGGAGCACCGGCTTGTTCGGCTGCTCCGCCCGCGCCGCCGAGCTGACGTGCGGCCGAGGGAGCACCGGCTTGTTCGGCTGCTCCGCCCGCGCCGCCGAGCTGACGTGCGGCCGAGGGAGCACCGGCTTGTTCGTGTTCGGGTCCTCCGCCCGCGCCGCCGGCTTCGCCAGCTGCATCGGAACAGCGGCGGCGGCGGCGGGGATGGCCGGAGCCGACGTCGCCACCGGTGCGGTCTTGGTAGCTGCGTCGGAGGACGTCGAGTTGGCGGAGTGGACCTTAGTGTTGTTGGCGAGGGGGAGGGCGCATGGGGGCGCGGAGGCGGAGGAGCGGGCGGCGGCGAGGAGGGAGCCGTAGGGCTGGAGCTGCCACAATGCGACGAAGAGCGTGAGGAAGGCGAGCGAGGCGACGAAGAGCTTGATGTCGACGCACGGGGCGGCGACGAACGCCCCACCGCCACCGCCGCCGCCGCCTCCTCCCGCGTCTTTCTTCTTCATGGCACGCACGTACGGTTACGGACACGGCTCTGCAACCGAAACGGCCACCAGCTCCCCGATCCGCCTGCGCGGCCGGCCGGCGCTCCGCTGCGGGCTCCGCTCCCGTGCTCCGGCCGGACCACTGCTCCGGTTGCGCGCCGCGCTTGCTTTCCCTCCTCCGTCCGCCCGTCCGCCCGTCCGTCCTGGTTATCTTTCTCGGGAGCGGGCGAAGGGCTGGGTGGGCGGTAAAAGGCGAGAGAGGTTCGATCGAGATGCGGGGAATGTGGGGGGTGACGGAGCGGAGGGAGGGGAAGGTGGCGGGGAACCGACGGGTCGGTCGGTGCGTCGACGTTGTCGACGGACGGAGCGGGGGAGGGAGGGATTGTTCTGGACGCTGCGGGTGAGAGGGAGGCGGGGGGCGGCGCCGCGAAGCAACAGTCAAGGCTGGCTGGCTGGCTCAGGGAAGGAGGGAGGGAAGGAAATGAAGGCGCGTGTGAGAGAGGTACTGGTGGTGGTGGTGGTGGTGGAGTGAGTTTAGGGCGATTTAACCGCCGGATCCGCGCGGTCCGTAACGCAGGCCACCAACCGCGTTCGTAGGGCGTCGTGGCGCTGGCGGTGAGGAAACTCTCGGAAGGAAATCAAGGCCCGCCACCGGACAAGGCGTGCGGGAGCGGCCGCCAGTTTGGCCTGGCTTGGACCTGTCTCGAGCCCGGGCATGCAAGCAACAGCGCCGCGGCTCCGTGGATCGGAGACGGGTAGGGTTGTAGTACAGCGACGGAGTGGCTCGGCTCGTCTCCGGTGGAAAAGCCGTCGCCTGCACGGTCTCGCTTCGGGCGGTGCGCACGTGGTTGATAGCCGGGTCGTGGGTTGTATACAGTGTATACGCTCCGCGAGGACATCTCTCAGCGGGAAAGAAGACGCTCCTTATAACAGTGAGGTTAGGGAATTCTCCTCATGCGACCACATTGGGTGTCGGGTGCTTTTGATTTATCCAAGGATTCAACGACGACAACTATGACTTTAGGACGCTGGTCCTTAGGGACACGCGTACTAAAACTAACCAACTGTCATTGACAAGGTTAAATCGGCTCGGATGAGGGAGCAGCACAATCAACGCGTCAGCAGCTTGTTCTAGCGGCGACCGTGGTCGATCGGTGGCCTCGAAATCTTAACCTAGTTTTTCTATGTTTTAGGTGCTTTATATTTACCGTGAACTGCGATAATAGATTTTTGAATCGTTTATAAAGAAATAGAAAAATAAGAACTCTCCGACTCAAAAGGACGAAAGTCGGTGTATGGAAGACGCCGCCAAGACAACAAAGCGACCGGACCGCATCGACGTGTCACCCTGGTGGTGAAAAGCGTTGCTCCCCCTGAATAAAAAAGGAAATGACCCAACGAGACAGTGCCACGACTCAGGCGATGTTGTACTAAAAAATTAGTAACGTCTCCGTTCGTGGATCTGCTTGCCGGACGCTGGCATCATCTCGTCTCGTCTTCTCCTTGCCTTTCTCGCTGGCGCCCGGGCCGTGCTCTGCTGCCTGCACCTGTGCCATGCAAAAGCACAGGTCATCCAAGGCGGATGGGTCCATCTCGACTTCCTTCTCCTCTGCTGAGCGGCACTGCACTGGTACGACTTGAATACTGCTCACCTTTATCCATACCTCGCGCGTCACTAGCACCAGACGTGCTATAGGTGCATGGATTATCGCGTGGATGTGCGCTACCGCGACACAGGCGGTGTGAAGGCCAGTCCATTTTTCTTACAAAATTACCCAGGTAGTCCTTGAACTTGCTGGCGCGTAACGTCGTCGTACTTGAGAAGCACTACAATTTCGCGGTAATTATATGCCTCATCGGATTTGTGGGTTCCACATGTCAGGGTAAATCCACTGGGACAACCGCCCTTACTCTCCTCTCGACCGAGTCGCTCTCCCTAGCGCCGCCCTATGATGCTCTCGCGATCCTCGTCGTCGTCGAGCCGCCAGCGCCATTGTGTCTTGTGAGGCAAAATTGATAAATTTGACCTATGGATAAAATCAAATCACAGAATAAATTACTCGCAAAACTATTTCACGTGGCTGATCTTTTTGTATGATGCCCGACACGAAGGCGTCACACTACACTGTGCAACGCCTCACAGATAGGCGCTGCACGCCTGTCCAGCGTCGCACTCGTGTGATTCGAAAATTACTAAGTTAGTGTGCAACGCCTGAGAGCTAAGCGCCACACTATACAGTGTAGCGCCTAGCTTCTAGACGTTGCACTAGTGGTTGCTTCATTTTGTAGTGCAACCACTAGTGCAGCGCCTGAGAGCTAGGCGCCACACTATACAGTGCAGCGCCTAGCTCTTAGGCTCTGCACAATGACTTAGCAATTTTTAGGCAGTCTAGGATGCAACGCTGGTCAGGCGTGTAGCGTCTATCTGTGAGGCGTTGCACAATGTAGTGTGGCGCCTTCGTGTTGGGCGTCACACATGTCAAATTTGTCAAATTTGCCGTCTTGGGACAACGGCAAGACCAGTGACTACTCCATGGAGGAGTTCGATTCAAGCGTAAGCCCCCTCTCTTCTGTATCGTAGGCTAGCGTTACGGCCAGGGTTCTTACTAATTAGGGACGTTTTGTATCTGAATCTCAATTCAAACCGAATCCAACCGATTTTACTTGTTCAATTCGATTTGAATGAAATCCGGGCGCCTCTCACCATTGAAGACTCAAATCTTGAGGCATTGTGAGGGTATAAGGAGGTCTCTGACTTGTGCTACCACAAGAAAGATCCTATAAAATTGGTAGCATTCCAAGGCAACGTCAACAAAAGGAGGTTTTATGGGTGTCATGAGAATGTAAGCCCTCCGCCTCCATGGTTCTTGTTTCGCTCTCTTTGAATCCCTGCTCTTTATACTTCTTGATCTATGTGAGTAGTGTGTTGTGAATGTAGTTGAAAGGGTTGGTATGCTCGATTAGGAGGAGGGAGGGATTAGGAAACAAACATTTTTTAACCCGTTTTACAAAATTTAGGCTCGATGTACGTCTCCGTTGAAGGGTGTGAAGTCACAATGCACCCCAAGCGCCAGAACGACTCTCCTCATGCCATCGCACGATGCAAGGTGACGTGAGTCCACTAGCGGTGCCCTTGAAGGCAGCAACCGAAAACTTTACAATGGGCTATCTCCACAACTTATTAATTGAAAGCTCCGAACACCTCCCGGTACCTTCACCACACACTAGTACAACGACGTTCCATACAAACGGTTTTACCCCCTTTCCACGACATAGTTTTAAATCATCGCCTTGCATGTGTGTGCGATAGGGGGGTCCATCCCACATTTTCTAAATAATTTACGAGTGCGATTGCATTTTGCATCGGGCACAGTTTCCTCTAAGCTCACCTGTGAGATAATGTGCTATCACAAATGATTGAGGAGCCCCTACACGGCTACACACACGTAGAAGTGCTGCAAATCGTCTGTGATTTGTTGTGTATCACCAATATTTCAGTTCACATCTCGTGTGCTTTTCCTGTAGTTCATAGGCGGTTAAGCTATGAGTGACATGTGGTTTTCGTTTTGGATCCCACACGCTCAGTTACATGAAACTGTGTCCGCTTTAATATGGCTAGGTTATGGCAAAATATCATGTTTGAATCGCCCTGCAAAAAGCAAATTCGCCATGATATGCAATTGAACAAATATATAGTGTCTACAGGAAGAACATTATCAAAATTTGCCATAATATGCAACTGAACAAATGCTAGCTAAACTCCACAAATGTATCGACATGTGCAGTACATAATCATAATGTATAAAATACGAAGATCTCATCACATGGAAAACAATGCATCCATGCGTATATGTTTAGCTGCTAACACTAGGTGAATGCATACTTATTGATGGAGGAAAAGGCTTGCTGAAATCTTCATCATATCGAGTGGGCTTGATGCAGTGTTTCAGGCAGAAGTTGCTGATAAATTCCTAACAACCAACAATTTAGTTGCGGGGAGCAGTTCAGAGGTCATCGGTTCAAAGATGATCCGTAGGGTTTTTAGACCAGAATGTACGTACCATGCGTGTGGAGTAGAAGATGGTAATTAAGAGACAGACTTACTGGCATTATCTTGTCAGCATCGTTACAACAATCAGAAGATCTGCGCATGAAGATCATGTGTTTGCAAATATAGTATCCACAAAGGTTGGTCCCTTCTCATTGTTGAGGACACTATTTTTTTTGTTGAGAATTAGTCATGTGTAAGCTGTTTATTTTTTTGAGCGAAATAGAAAGAGGTTTCTTTAGAAACTTGAATATTTGACTAGCATAAGAAAAAGTATTTGCGAACCTTTGGATACATTTTATGAAAATAACAGATTTCGTTGTCTTACCAGAGAAACGATCTCGTGCTGCAGAAGTAGTTGACGGTCAAACCAGTTCCCTCCTTTAGTTATGTACCTTAAAAATTGATAACCCACAAGTATAGGGGATCGAAACATTTTTTGAGGGTAGAGTATTTGAGGGAGTCCTGGATTAGGGGGTATCCGGACAGCCGGATTATATCCTTTGGCCGGACTATTGGACTATGAAGATACAAGATTGAAGACTTCGTCCCGTGTCCGGATGGGACTCTACTTGGTGTGGAAGGCAAGCTAGGCAATACGGATATGTATATCTCCTCCTTTGTAACCGACTTTGTGTAACCCTAGCCCCCTCCGGTGTCTATATAAACCGGAGGGTTTTAGTCCGTAGGACAACATACAATCATACCATAGGCTAGCTTCTAGGGTTTAGCCTCTCCGATCTCGTGGTAGATCAACTCTGATAATACTCATATCATCAAGAATAAATCAAGCAGGACGTAGGGTTTTACCTCCATCAAGAGGGCCCGAACCTGGGTAAAACATCGTGTCCCCTGCCTCCTGTTACCATCCACCTTAGACGCACAGTTCGGGACCCCCTACCCGAGATCCGCCGGTTTTGACACCGACATTGGTGCTTTCATTGAGAGTTCCACTGTGCCGTCGCCAGAAGGA